CCCCCGCATGTGGCCCACGAAGCGGATGAGGTTCTCTATCGAGAGTGCCTGAAGAACCACGCCGCCAGCCTCGGCGGCCACGCGCTGGACGGCTGCGGAGAATTCATGCCGTCGCTAACTGCTAACCCTGCCGACCCAACCTCCCTCAGATGCGCGGCATGCGGATGTCATAGAAATTTTCACCGCCGGATCGCCATCCGCCACCGCGCGGCGGGCGCCGCGGCTTCCGGAGACGATAGCCTTGAAGGAGAGGGCGAGCGCGACGGGCAGGAAGATGATGGCGATGACGCCGATGTGAACGATTCTCGGCCAAGAAGCCCTAGCCCTACCCCACCTACATACTTCTCTTCGGCTCCGCACATGCTACTTGCTCTAAGCAACGGCGTACGGGATGGGGATTCGCCTGCAGTTGCCAGAAAATCCTTCGCCATCCCGACCCCCGTGGTTTCGTTGACGCCTCTAAGGAAGCGATTTCGGACCAAATTTAGCCCGGAGCAGAAGGACAGAATGCTGGAGCTCTCTGAGAGACTTGGATGGCGGCTACAGAAAAGAGATGAAGAGTTAGTCGAAAAGTACTGCAGTGAAATTGGAGTCGGAAAGGGGGTTTTCAAGGTATGGATGCACAATAACAAGCACCATTTGTTTGGGCATTCGAGCTCTCGTAGGGGAGAAACGATGGGTGGTGTTTCTCCTCCCGCCGCTGCGGCCGCCGCTTTAACTGGCGGTGGTGCGGGAGTGCTAAAGTTCGATGAAAATGGCAATGCGATGAATGGTGCTTGTTGAAGAAAACCTCAGTTTTATGACTTTGTTTTGCATGTTAATGCTGCTCATATTATTGAATTAGCTTCCTAGTGATTCAGATAGGATTAGGAAGAAAGGTTCTGAGAGAGAATGCCCACTGAGGTAGGGATTGACTCACAAGGGATCAAGGATTTAAATGATTTCATTATGATAATTTTCTTTTATGATTGTTTTAATGTGAAGAGGCAAATGATTAATTGCCTCTGATTTTGGGCGTCATATTAGTCCTCCATTCATTTCTAAGTGTTTTCGTTAGTTTTCTACGTAGACTTTTCTTGCTCTGCAGGGAGAGAACACCTCTATAAAGTTCAACAACTTGTGAATGTTTAGGCTATGTTTTTATCCTCGTCTTACTGCAGTGAGCACTGGGAAGCCAAAGGGAAGAAATAAGAAAAAAAATATATTCATAAATTTTTTTATTAAAAGTTGAACTAAAATTAGAATTAATTTAATATATAAATAAAAGTATATTAGAATTTTCTTATTTTGGTATGGGTATTATTAGAAATCTATGTGCGATAATACGTTTTTTTCTAATTTCGTTTTCTCTTTTGTTCTCATGTCTTTTTCATTTTTTTATTTTGGTAATTCTGACTAAATCAGAATATTAATCTCTATTTGTTTATCATCTCATAATTTGGAAAAAAAAGTTTGGAGAAATTAAATCTAAAAACCATTAAATTCGGTTTGAAATATATGTAATATATAACTGATTAATCAAAATTATCCATCTGATTAATTTTTCTATCAGCAAAACCTCACCTTAATTTTCTGTCAGATTTTTTTTCTTCCTTTTTTTGAGCTAAACGTGCAAGTAACCTTAAGATTTAACATTTCAAATTTGAAATGCATTGCTGGGAAAAGGGAATGCATTAATCTCAATTCTGACAACGGTCGCCTCCTCTTTACCTATTTATGACTTATTTTAATGCTTTTTATTATGTTTTGAACTTGGTTGGAGAAAAGCTGATGCGAATTAATTAGCCTATTGAAATTTGTTCTCACCATTGTTGTGACATGTGAGTTTCATGCAGGCATGTCCCTTGTTATTTTTAAATTTATAGTATGTTTGTTGGGGTTGATCCAATGACTTTACTTCCAAATCTATCAATATATTATTTTTTTCCTGCTTCCTTCTTGATTGTCCTGCAAAGGACCATCAGATTTTGATAGAATAATGTCCAAAGAAGTTTTAGGAAACGGACAGAATGGTTTTAATTAACTAATGATGAAATGAGACATTTACTGCTTTTAAGTAAAAGTTAGCTTTTTTGATCTAGTAACTAAGCCGGTATGCTCACTGCTGCATTTTTTACACATAATTCTAAATGATTAAGGGCCATTTACATACACACTTCCCAATTCTCATGTATTTACATATCTAACACCTAAATTTTATTTTTTTGACATTTACCACTCAAAAGCTTTCATTTCTCATAAAAAATACCACTATGTGAATTATTAGCAAGTGACAACACCTTTTGATGTATGGGTAAGGTGCCATATAAGTAAAAAATGAAGTCCAGCTGTTAGATCATATGTAAATACATAGGAATTGAGTGGTATGTATGTAAATCTTCCAATGATTAATGCATGTTTGCATGGTTCATGACAGAGGTAATGTATAATAATAATAATATATGTTTAAGATGGGCATATAAAGATTCTTTAAGCCCTGAGCATCATGGAGTTTGGTATATTTGGATTATATGCCTCTCTGTTCTGCAGATTTTTTTGACTTAAGCGTATGGCTCATTATTCAGCAACCTGTTTCCGTTTACAGAAGGATTAACAGAATGAAAGCAATTAAATTTCCGTAATTCCATTTTTAGACATTTGATATTTTCATAGATTTAAAGGTGCTAAATGCATTCTGCTTCACTGTCATCTTTTTTTAAAGGAGAGCATTTAGCATTTAGGAGTTCCTCAATCCGATAAGATTAGCTTAGATGCTTTGTTTTGTTTGAAAAGTTTTTTTGCCCACTAATGCCTTTTCTCTTTAGTTAATGAGTAATTAATTATTCGAGGGTTTTTATTGGCGAATTGGTCTCTTTCTCCAAGTAGCATGCATTGGGCCTTCTTTAATAAAGACTTAAGGATGACTTTGGAGTCCAATTGATTAATTCCAACGAAGGTCCACGATAAGCTAATTTGGGATTTTGTGGATGCCGCAAGTTAAGTTGCTGTGCGGGATGAAGAATATATCACACAATAAAAGCATTACATATCTAATATCTAAATTTTTTAATTATTGTGTGGCATGTTTGTAAATGTTTCATGATCTTAGGTGGTTGTGTGTTTTTACTTGAATTTTTTTTTGTGTGATAAATATTTGATTGGGATGTCGTGTGGATGCTTGGTTTGTTCACAGGCGTGTTTGTCTGCTGATTTCTTTGAATAAGAAATTTCAGATGATATTACAATAATATTTTGGCGATATTTATATTTTGTCGCATCTAAATATTAGGCTATGCGTTGGGCTAAGTGATATCATAATCATCATTGAATATTTTAAGTTTATAATGTTTGTTAAGTTATATTTAAATATATTGTTATCTTGAAGAGGTACACCATATCTTTTGGATGATTGAGATTGATACTGTTTATTTATTTTTTAATTCTTTTGGTACCCAGCCATTCAAAATAAATTGAATGGATTATCATGATTATTGAAAGTGCTCTGAATTAATCCCTTATATTGTGTTTGTGTTCTTCTTTGGTTTATTGTATTTTATTTGAGTTCATGCTTGTTCATTAAATTATTTGATTCTAGCATAAGGTGATTCTATCCTTGCTGGTTAACAAATCCTGCTAATATATTTCATTTAAGGGCTATGTTTATTGCTTGGAACTGCAAAATGCAAATGAGTTTTCTTGATTTTTATATTTGCAGTGTGGATGCTAATAGAACTTAATGGTTGGGCAGTGGATGCGGTTGGTCGGAGGTTTTATCTCAGACTCTCGTTAAATCACATTTTAACTACTAACAAACTAGCTTTTTTTTTTTTACTGAATTGCTCATATCCTAAATAATAATAGGGGCATTTACATGCAAAACACACAATTCTTAGATATTTACATATGTAACGTTCAAATCTTTTATATAACATCAAACTATCCACTATCAAACTTTAGGTGCTAGTTATGTAAATGCATACAAATTGTGTGGATATATGCAAATTAATAATAATAATAATAATATATTTAAATTTTTCAAAAGTATCTTCAATTTTTTTTAAAAATGTTTTTGTCCTTTAAATTAAATGAAAATTTAATTGTTGTTTGCTTATTATTATTATTATTATTATTATTATTATT